ATATGTTGAGATGGGTTGTTAACTAACTGAAAATTTTAATATTCTCTTTACATAAATGCTGTGAAAAGTCCACGTGGCAAAATAATAACATGGACAAAATTCTAGGTCCAATTTAACATTTTATCCAAATATATGGCTATCACTCAACGTATACACTCATTTTCTAGAGGACTCACAATTAAATGCATTTTTGGGAAGTGATGAAGATAATTTTTTTATATAATTATCATATATCAATAAATAAATAAATATATTTAATATCATGTTTTTTAACTAAATAAAAAGAATTAATTATTTAAATGATATATAAAGTTAATAAAAAAATAATACAAAAAAATTATCTCTAAATTATTTTCCTATTTTTAAAGTATATGCTTACTTGGAATGCCACATAACCAGAATATTTGCCACGTAAGCATTTTTTTAATTTCCACGTGACATTAAAAAATTTGAGAAAATAATAACGGAATGTTCTACTCCGTCGGTAAAAAGCATAACAGAAGACCAAAAAGTAGCTAGAAAAATAAACTTGTAGGACTAAAAATGAACTTTTTTTAAATTAGGATCAAAAAGGGGTAGCATATAAAAGTTGAGGGACTAAAATAGGATTTAACCCAAATAACATACACATTTACTCTATATATATTGCCTTAGTGAATCAACTAATCCTCTCGATGTCCAAGAACACAAACTTTCACTCATACCGAAAGAGACAACTGCATTTCTTTTTGTTTGAGGGGGTTGTGGAGGCCATATTGCTTATGTTGACGTCTTCTTAGTGAAGTATAACCAGGACGATAGTGACAATAACTTTTCAGCATAAGTAATTAAAAAATCCTATATTTGAATAATATAATATGTAGAATGAATTATAAGATAAGAAAAAGTTATTTTTTGTGCAACTCAAAATTTAAAAATAAAAAATAAAAACAAATAGGGCTGAGCATAATATGCAGTTTTTCATGGAATGAAGACCATGATTTTGCTGAGCATCGAAAATTATTGAAAGAATCATCAAAAGTAGACAAACTGGCTTCTACTATCGGATCACGCTATAGGGTTTAACATTTCTTGTTGAGCACAAAAAGAATGATTTTTTTTGGCAATACAATCTGCAAATTATTTTATGGGTTTTTTTAACATGTACTTTTAAAAGCACAAGTTAAGAACACATTTTTAATCTTAATGATCATTTAAAAAAATAAAATTTAACATTTATTTAATCAACCATTTAATTAAAATAATACATGTGGTATTAGAGATAAAATTAATGTCAAATTTTGTTATTTTCTATATTAATTAATATTAAAAAAATGTATTAATTATACTCTTAACCTGTATGCTTAGATAAATTCTTATTTTATTTAGTATCCTATTGTAGCCGGCCACTTATTCCTTTGATCATCTGATATGGTGGTAAGGTCATGATTGGTTGGTGATAATAGTTATTCCTTAGCCAAAATAAAAAATGAGTTAAATTTAAGAAATTTCCTTAGGAAGATAGTTTTTTACTAAACTAAGAGATAAATGAGGAATATGTATTCCTTACATTTTTTAAGAAATAAGTATTCTTTGGTTCTTTGCTAATGTAAGAGAAAAATTACACATTAAGGCTTAGTTATTCCTAGCTTCCTTAGTCATATTTGGTTGTATCTTATTTCTCTTTTATTGGGAATAAAGATTGATCTTGAGAAAGCAAAAGACTAGGAGATTGCAACACGGTGAGATTTGTTGAAGGCAAAAGACCAAGAGATTTCAAAATAGAGAGATTTGTTGAAGGCAAAAGCAGAAGATATGTCAGAGTACTCATCGTTATCGGAGGATATAAGAGTAGCACTGATTGTAAAGTTAGCAAAAGAGAATGTAGAACTGGAAGGTTTGTTGGAGGAAAAAGCCCATGAGATTGCAAATCTGCGAGGTTTGGTGATGGCAGCAGTCCACGAGGTTGGAAAACTGAAAGGTTTGTTGGAGGCAAAAGCCCAAGAGACTGTAAAACTGCAGGACTCGTTGGAGGCGGCAGCTGAAGAGATTGCAGAACAGAAAGATTTGTTGGAGGCAAAAGACCAAGAGGTTGCAAAACAGAAAGATTCGTCGAAGGCAAAAGACGAAAAGGTTACAAAACAACAAGATTTATTGGAGAAAAGAGCCCATGAGATTGCAAAACTGCAAGTTTTGTCAAAGGCAAAAGCCCAAGAGATTGGAAAACTGCAAGACTTGTTGGAGGCGAAAGCTCAAGAGATTGCAAAACAGAAAGATTTGTTGGAGGAAAAAGACCAAGAGGTTGCAAAACAG